GGGTTCTTGGCGCTGCCGCCGCTCCTCGCTGCCCTCGCGGAAGCCGCCGGGTGCGAAGGCCCGCAGCTACCGCCCAACGGCGCTGCTCCCGGCAGCGCCCCGCCGCACGGTGTGGAGCGGCGGGGCATGCCTCCGCCCCGCCGACCCGCTGCTGGCGCGAGCGGCCTGGGAACTCCGGGCCGAGGGCCTCGCAGAGCCAACCTCGCTGGCCCGGTCGGCGGGCCCCAGTCGGCGCGAAGGGCCGAGGTGACGGCCGCGGCGGCGGCGGCTCGCGTAGTCGGGGGCCCCATGCATCAACCTCGCCTCGGACAGCCAGTAATTACGCGGTGCGGGCGTGCGCCCAGATCGAGGCCGGCGCCGACGCGCGGGACTGGGAGCACACCGACCTGTGGCACTTGCTGGCGGGCGCCGTGCGCCAGCGGCTGGCCCCGGGCCCGCTGGGCGCCCGCCCGCGAGACGCCCGCGGAGGCGCCGCCTGGGACTGAGTGGGAGGAGCCACCTCGGCAACGCAGCGGCCGACGGCACCGCTGGCGCCGCCGCGGCGAGCAGAGCGCCGCCGCCAAGCGCGGCGCGCGCCCGCCGCCGGGAGCTGGAGCTGTTCGGGGCCGCGCAGCGCGTGATGGCTGCCGCGCAGCAGGCCGCCCTAGCGGCGGCGCGCCGGCGCTGGGTGCGCCGCGGGGCCCGGGCCCGCCCGGCCTCCACGCCGCCGGGCGCCGCGCCCGCCGGACGCGCGCCGCCGCCATGGCGGCTGCGCGCCCGCCCATGCAGGCGCCATGCTGGATCCCTTTCTTCGCGGGGCGGTCGTCATGGCCGCTCGCCCTCGCGCAGGGGCCCGGCCATGACGTCTGCCTCCGGCGCGGCGCCAGCACCGCGGCGCCTGCGGAATTGTTGGGCCGTGCATGTCCAGGGTGGAAGGAGGGGCTGCCGGCGCGCGGGCAGGCGCTACTCCTTCTCGGTGAACTGCGCTTCGCTGGGGGTAGCGCGGCGGATTTTGCTTGCCTCGCTGCGCAACGGCGCGCGCAGCTCCCCAAGGCGCCGGTCTGATCGGGGCCTTCCCGGGCGCCCGCGGATGCGCGGGGCGCCCGCTGTCCGCTCGTCAAAAAAATGTTTTGTTTTTTTTGTTTTTTTTTGGGGGGGGGGGCGGGGGCCGCCCCCCCTCCCCCTCCTCTTTTTTAATTTCCTTTTTCTCAGTCGTATCATCTTTTCCGTATCATTATTAGAATGAGTATTAGTCTTCTTAGTAACATTATTGTTGGTACTTCCTTCTTGGTACTATTCTCGTTATAAATAGTATAATCACTCTTCTGTTTAGTATCGCGATGCTGATCTCATTACGGGCATGATCAATATTAGTATACACGTGCTCAATTGTTAGTGTGATTATGTGTGTCCGTCTTATGAGTATGCGTCTGTTTCGCCTCTCCTTTGTAGCATTAGTAATACGTTGCGTATGCTTCGTAATTCCCTTCATTGCTGTTGTTATTATTCGTAGTGCTAGTAGTAGTGCGACTATTACTCACGCCATTACTTGATTATTCTTGTTATTATCCATGTCATTCATGTGATTCGTAGTATTGTCCTCCTCCTCCTTTTCATCGCGTGTTTCATACGTTTCCAAGTCGTTCTCTTCTTCCTCTCCTTCCTCTTCTTCTTCTGTTCCTTCATCCTCCTCCCCCTCGCCCTCGCGGCGCCGCGTTTCCCCCTGCTGCGTCTGACCCCCCATTCCCCCTGTCCTCATCCACCACAACCGCATCACTTCAAGCTCATCATCCCTCTCCCGGGCCTCCAGGAGCCTGTGCCCTCGAGCGAGCGCTGCTGCAGAGATCGCTGCTCCAGTCGGTGCTGCATGGACCTGCGCGGGGCCATCCGATTTTCCCAGCGACAGCCACGTGGCGGTCAACGAATTGCGCAGTTGCCCTGCCGAACAACATCTCTTCTCCGCCCGTAGAGCTGGCTCGCGATGCAGACTCTGACTGACTACGAGTCAGCTCCATGGTCAACTCTGAGGATCAAGCAAGGGTCACAGCGCCGATGGCGCCGCCCTCCCCGCGCCAACAAAACTCACATTGCATGGGGATGCAGCAGCGGATCTGGCTGCGAGGAAGGGCGCCGCAGCCCATCCCGACATGTCGCCGCAAGATCGCGGGGAGATTGCGCGAATTGTCTCCGTTCCTCGTGCTGTCGCGAAGCAAGCGGCGTTGTTTTGGGAGATCTGGCCCAAAACGCGTGGCAGGCGAACGCCCGCTTGCGGCCCCTCAGAGCTTCCGGCGACAACCGCGATTGGAACTTGACGCGCATCCCGCCCAGTTCTGGTTTGATGCGCCCACGCTGCTCGCGTGGGCCTTGCTCGGGCCCCAAACATCCTGGCGGATCGTGCCCCTGCGGGTGCAGCCGCAAGTCTTGCGCGAACTGGGCCACTAGCGCACTGTGATAAACTGCACTGGCGGTTCCACGCGCAGAAGTACGCGTTTCGGCTGCTCCGCTTCAGGTGCTCGGCTGGCCTCAACGGCGCAAGTCCCTCGCAAATCCACAGAGGCGCGAGAACTGGAGGTTGCTCGGCAAGGGGCCCCACCCAAAAGAGAATGAGGTCACAGTCGAACTCGAATATACTTGCCCCGTCTGGGCGGGCCCCTTGGCGCTCGATGCCAAAACAAAATCCTGCCGATCCCAGCGCGCTGCCAGCGTAGGTAACTCGGACTAGCGCCCATGCGGTCCGCTCGCCCCCCCCCCCCCCTCCTTCCTCGCCCTCCTCCTCCTCCTGTCGCCGCGACCTCCTCCGTCGCACTTCGCTAGGGTAGGTGGGCCACTTGCGACGAGGGACGGGAAGGGGGCCGCTCGTCGTCATAGCGTCGGAGGACTGCGAGAGGGGAGACGAACGTCGCCGCGGCCGCGGGGGGGGGGCGCAACCGTTGACGTCGCAGGTCCCTCGACGCCCCCGCGACAGGCAGCCGCGGGGAACCTGAAGTTGCAGTGCCTATGGCGCTGGCAGCGCACATCCTGTAGACAAAGGTGAAGGACTACAGGATGTAGTTAGTTTCAGCGCCTCCATCGCTGCCATGGGAAATCTCAAGATGTGTCATCATGGGGCGATGTTCGAATCTGGAGGGCGCTGGAATACGCGGGCGATGTCTTCGCACGCGCGGGAAAGCAACTCACGCGCGTCAACGGCCTTGCCTGCCCCGGCGCGCCCGTCTCATGCCGCATCGATGACCTGGAAAGATTTGAAGCGAGCGCTTTCAGGCCCAGCCGGTAGCCTATGGGGCCCACTGCGCAGTTGTGCCTCGCGCCCTCGTAACCCCGCAAGTTTGAGCTCTCGGGCGTGTAGCTCTGATCGCGCGTCCGGGCAGTTGGAGGTCGTTTGCGCGCCCCCCCGCCGAGCGAGCTCCCCTGGTGGCCGTCGTAGCTGCTACTCTGTTTGCAGCCGTCGCATCTCTGCCGGTGGCTGGCACCCTGCCGGTGGCCCGTGTAGCTCTGCTGGTGGCCGTCGTAGCTCTGCTCGTGACTCACATTTCCCAGCTTGAAGTCTGAGTAGCTCTCCTGGTGGCCGGCGTAGCTCTGCTTGTGACCGTCGTAGCTCTGCTTGTGGTCCGCGTAGCTCTGCTCGTGGTCCGCGTCGTGGCTCTGCTCGCGGCCGTCGTAGCTCTGCTTGTGACCGTCGTAGTCCAGCTCATGGCCGTCGTCACTCTGCTGGTGTCCGTCGCAGTTTCGCCACTGGCCGTCGGAGCGTTGCTTGTCAGCGTAGCCCCTTTGGTAGCCGTCGCAGCTCTGCTTGCGGTCAGGGTTGCTCTGCTTCGGGTCCGCGTAGCTCTGCTGGTCGCCGTCGTAGCTGGCGGCAATCGTAGCTCTGCTCGTGGCCCTGGTGGCACTGCTGGTGGTCCGCGTAGCTCTGCTGGTGGTGGACGCCGTAGTCCGCCTCGTGGCCCTCGCAAGTCTGCTGGCGGTCGTCGTAACTCTGCTCGCGCTCCGCATAGCGTTGCTGGTGGTCCGCGTAGCTCTGCCGGCGGCCGTCGTAGCTCTGCTTGTGGTCCGCGTCGCGCAACTGGTTGCCGTCGTGGCTCTGCTCGTGGCAGTCGCAGTCCGGCTCGTGGCCCTCGTAGCTCAGCTGGCGGCCGTCGTAGTTCTTCTGGCGGCCGTCGGAGCGCCGCTCGTGGTCCGCGTAGTTCTGCTGGTGGCCGTCGTAGCTCTGCCCGCAGTCTGTGTTGCCTGGCTCATGGTCCGCGTAGCTCTTTTTCCGGTGGCTGGCGTAGCTCTGCTTTTGGCCGTCGCAACTCTGCTTGCGGTCCGCGTAGCTCTGCCGGTGTCCGCGTGGCTCTGCCAGTGGCCGTCGTAGCTCTGCCGGCGGCCGTCGCAACGCTGCTGGCAGTCCGCGGCGGGCAGCACCGGGGGGGGCACGAGGCTGGATTGCCCGAGGTCGTGCTGAATGGTGCCGCAATCTTCGCTGTCGTCGCAACAGCGAGTATCGGGAAAGCCGACTGGCGCGAACTCGGCACAGCACTTGTTGAACTTGAGGTTGCTGCTGGCGGCGACACCACTCGCGCTCCAACATTGTTGCATGAGGATGGCCAGGTCCTTCGCTGCGGGGTTGCCCTTGCGGGCCGCGTAGGCCAACCAGCGGTGGGTAGCTGCCTGAAGATCGCGGTTTCCGTGGTCTCGACGAACACGGGGAAATCTCGGATGGAACCGGTGATCTCGTAGTTGATTCATATTGGTGCCGTACTGAGTAGTAACAGGCCGCTCTACGGCCTGACCAAACGATGTCCCGGGGATTGTTGTAAAGCTCGGTAAGGATGATCAAATACAAGAGGTACTGGATGATCAGAATGTTGTAAGGAACGACGAGTCGGGGACCTGTACCTCTTCCTCGCGGGCGTATGGCGCCACGCTGGACGCTGCCAGGCCAGAGCGGGGGGGGACGCGTCCGCCCCCCCGGTGCCTCGGCCAAACGCCTCCTTCTCCTTTTCCTCCTGCCCTGATCCCTCTCCCCTCCCTCCTCCTCCCCCTCCCCTCCCCCTCGGGCTCGAGTTCGAGCTGGCGGCCGCGGATACCCCCGAGACGCGCCCGCTGGCGGCCTCCCGTGAGGGGCCGCCAGCCAGGGCATCGTGCGGAGGGGCGGCGAGGAGGCGGGCACGACGGGCGAGCAGGAGACAACCAGGCAGGCCGCCAGCGGCGTGCGGCGGTCGACGGAGGCGGACAGCGGAGCGGGGGGGGGGAAGTGTCTGGGCAGATGTGACATCCTCACCCTGCGAGGAGAGTCGAGGAGGATCAGGGAGGATCGAGGATCGCGAAGGATCGAGGTTCGTTGATCGGGGATCGGGGATCGAGGGTTCTCGTCGTCATCGTCGCCGTCGCCGTCGCCGTCGTTGCCGTCGTTGGAGGGAGTTGCCTGCGTCGTTGATCGGCGAGGGTAGGGTTCAGATTTCGCCGCCGAATCGGGTCGGAGAATAGCCGCATCGCCGACGCAAACGGGTTCCAGATCGCGCCGTACCAACGATGCATCGGCGATGCGGCGCGATCCTCCGACCCCATCTGCCTCAGCCCAATTTGGGAGGGACGGGGACGACACGGAGAGAGAGGGCAGCGGCTCAATTCACGACCGTGTCCTCGGCCGAGACACCGCTGAGCAGCCGGCCCCCAGGCAGGACAGCGTCCACTCGTGCAAGCCCAGAGCCAAACCTGCCCGCGCGGTGGAGGCCCAACAACTGATCATAGATAACTGCCAGGCGAGTGGTGGGTCCGCCACCAGCTCGGCAAAGCTCCACCCCGCCGAAGGTCACGAAACTTATCGAATCGCCATCGAGCAGGGCTTGCAGAAGCAACGTTGGCAACAAGTGAGCTACATATGTGAGGCCCGCGACCAGCGACGGGAGGGCACACCGACCCTGACCGTTCAGGCCGCAGGCTACTGCCGTGCCATCGCTCCTGAGCAAGACTGTATGCCTACCTCCAGCGGCGATTCGCGTGTACGTAAGGCCTGCAACAAGTGCCGGGAGGTCGCACTGGCCCCTAACATTCCTGCCACAGGCCACGGCAGTGCCGTCGCTCCTGAGCAAAACGGTGTGCCACACTCCAGCTGCTACTTGCGTGTACGTCAGGCCTGCGATCAACGCTGGAAGTTGGCACTGGTGGTCAGCATTCTTGCCGCAGGCAACCGCCGTCCCGTCGCTCAATAGCAGAACTGTATGCCTACCTCCAGCGGCCACCTGCGCATACCTCAGATCAGCGGCCAACGCTGGAAGGTCGCACTGGCCGTCAGCATTCTGTCCGCAGGCCACGGCTGTGCCATCACGCCTGAGCAGAGCTGTATGCAGTGATCCTGCGGCGGCTTGCGTGTACTTCCGTCCGGCGACAAATGCTGGAATGTCGCACTGGCCCTCTGCATTCCGGCCGCATGCTGCGGCCGTTCCATCGCTCCGGAGCAGAGCGGTGTGCGCCCCTCCTGCGGCCACCTGCGTATACGTCAGATCCGCGACCAGCGCTGGGATGGTGCATCGGCCGTCAGCACCCCTGCCGCAAGCCACGGCCGAGCCATCGCTCCTGAGCAGCACCGTGTGCTCTCCCCCAGCAGCGACCTGCGTGCAGTTCAGGCCCGCCACCACCGCAGGGAGGTCGCACTGGCCCTCACCGTTGCCACCGCAGGCCACCGCCGTGCCGTCGCTCTGGAGCAGGACGGTGTGCAGCATTCCTGCGGCGACCATCCGCAAGAGCGTCCTCGGGACAGCCGCCTGCTCCCGGGCCTACTCGCTCCTCGGGGGCGAGAACTCAGTTCGACACCGTTTGGGCAGATGGGCCAAAATCCTACAGAAGAACTGAAACAATAATCTGAAACTCCCGTGAAAGTGGGAGTGGCAAGGCCTGGAACAACAACTAGAAGAGGATAAATGCAGCCAAATACGGTTGGGATGAGGTCGCAGGGGCTGAAAAAACTGAACGGAAACTGGCCAGGCTGGAAAGAGTGAAAGGGTTGGCTCCAGTCTCCCTCTTTTCCCAGCTTCAAGCCAGGGCTCTCACCACACACTTCCTTGAATTTCTTTCTTTCTTTCGCAAAAGCCTAAGTAAAACGCACACAACACTGGCAGTCTGGTATCGCAAGAACGTGGACGAGAAGAATGAACGAAAGCGGAAAGGAGGGCCATAATATAAAGGGCGGGCAAGACGGGGAGGGCAAGAAACAGGGGTAGCCGGGAAGAGAAACAAGCAAAGCTAGCAAGAGGACAGCAAGCGATAGCTATCGAAAGTCAATACTGCACGGTACACTTCCTTGAACTGAATGACCCTACCTCTTCGCAATGTTTGCGGTTCCGAATAGGAAAGGCGACTTTAAAACGAAGCTCCTGCCTGAAGAGCAAGCCCGCTGGAAGTTCGTTTTCAAAAACGCGCGTCCCGTTTTGAAACGGGCGTGCGAGACGAGAGGTCCGCAGCATCGATGGGGCAGCGCGGGTTTGAACCAGTCCCCATCATACCCCCCCCACACCACGTCTTCAATCTCCTCCCCGTCCTACGACGAGGAAGACAACGACGCTGTTCGACTCGATGCTGACGCTGATGTTGACGTCCACGCTGACGTTGACGACGGTGGCAACGGTGACGACGGTGACGAAGGTGACGACGAAGACGACGACAACGACGAAACGACGACGGCGGCGGCGACGACAACGACGACGGCGGCGTCGGCGGTGGCGGAGGCGGCAGCGGCGATGCCGGCGAAGACGACGGCGGCGCTCGCAGAGAGGCAACGGCGGCGGCAGCGGCGGCGACGACAGGCGGTACCCGCCGACGGGGTTGAAGGGGCGCGCGGGAGCTGCCGAAGTGAGGGACAACGCGCGGTGAAGATTCACTCAGGTGGGCGGTATCGGCCTGAGCGACGAAACGACATTGGTCGTACAGTTTGAAGATGGTCGGGGGGCCCAACCAGATGCTTCGCCCAAGCCGAAGCATACGTCCAACGCTGTTGTACCGTATCAACGATAGTCCCAGGAGTAGGAGGGAACCGCGAGAGCGGCGAAACATTCCAAGAGTAAAAACGATGCCTTTCTTTCTGGATGTATGGTAGTGCGCGTCAGACAGGCACAGCCAAATAGGTGGCCGGTCACTGGGCCGAAACTGCCGCGGACAAGCGCTCGATACATCTCGCCTCTGCCCTTCCTTTTTTTTTAAATCGGGGGGGAGTAGGCGAAGCGTGAGTCCGCTACAGGCTTTAGTCGGCCATACAGCTATAATACACCTGGTAGGCAACAGCCGGCGGGCTCAGTCTAGGCAGGTTAACCCGCAGGCAAGTTACCCTACAGGTTACCTCGCAGGAAAGTTACCCCGCTGGCAAGTTACCTCGCAGGCAAATTACCCCGCAGCTTACTACTCCTCAGGCGGATATGACGGTTTCGTCAGGCCCGCCTTGTAGGGAGTGTGTCGTTTCAAGTCGTGCTTGAACGATTGCAGTCCTCTCATGACTTGTAAAAGCATGTCTCTGTCGATGCTCCTCTTGGCGTGGCCATCCGCAGTCATATCGTGAGTGTCAAACCATTGCGCACACAGTGCACGACACCTCGCTCCATCATTTGCCGTATCCTAATGTGCCCCAAAAGCGTACATTCAGTCGGCTTCTTCAGGTCTCTGCTTGACAAACATTTTAAGACGGATTCTGCAGCAATGGTCAAAACGACCTCAATGCTCAGGCCGCCCATCAAACGTGTATCCTTCGGTTGGGTGGGTGTCAGCGGCCCTGCGCGGAGTTCGTGGAGCGTGACATCCTGGGATGGCAGTCCTCCAAATTGCGGGTTGCTGCTGATGCTTCCGCTGCGTAGTTCGAACGGACCTGCAAGCGATGAGACTTGCAGTGCGCGTCGACAAGATGGACGTCGGGCTTGCCAGCATGCGTGCGTCCACGCCTTGGCAGGCTTGCCCCGCGAATGCCATAGTCTTTGACTTCGTCATCGCCATCGCCGTTCAGGCGACCGCAACCAGAGTCGCCATGCAGATCGACCCCGCCCGTTGGTGTCATCGCTTGATAGAAGATCTTATTAGGGCAGGCCTGCAGTTTCCTTGAAATCGCGCCAAGTCGTCGCACTTGCAGATTGGTCGGTTCTTCGACGCGCTGCAGTGGTACAACATATACAATTAACCACGCGCGCGTGATAAAGGGCGCAAGCCAGAGCGCCCAGGAAACAGACACACATATCAGTGACCATCCTCGACGCCTTAGCCCCAACATCTGAGCCCGAAAATTCGCAATGCTGGATGGGACGGGGCTGTTCTATGTATTCGTCTTGGTCAAGTTCTATGTAACATGGCCGTCGCTGCCCTTAGCGTATCTCACGGCACAGTTGGCGCACGCGTGCTCGTTGAGCCTACGCGTTCCAACAGCTTCCTCAACGCGCCTGGCGCACATGTCGGCGGTGTCCTTGGCGCCGGCCACGTTGATATCATCGACGCGCTCGGCAGTCGGAAGATCAGGGCTCGCCTCGAACTCTTCGTCGTAAGATGTGGGTATGAGTCCCAAGCCTCTCGTGTTCTTCATGAGCTTCAGCGAAGTGGCTCTTCGCGCATCTTTGGCGCCTGCGCCTGGCTTAATTAAGGCGCTGCAAACAATGTCTTGACACGTCCTAAAGCTCGAATCCTGGGGGGCCGCCGCGCCGCTCCCAAGGTTTCTACCCCGCAGGCTTCGAGGCCCCCATCTCTCCCAGTTCGTTCTTGGCGGCTTTTCATCTATATATATATATATACGCGTATCTCGAGGTCATGATGCGTGACGCCTTTGATATATCTTGCATATTGAAGCACGCGTGGTCAAGCCATGTCTTGAGTTCAGTATACAGGGCCTTCGAGACCTTGACTGAATTCGCCGGAGTATCTGCCTTCGTGAGCAGGCCGCCCCCCTTGGCGACTACAGCTCGTCTAGCTGCAGCGGTCACATATACTCGCCCGGTGGTAAACACTTATTGCCACTTATTGCCCATGCTCGTGGGATGTCCAATCCGTAGCTGTCATCTTCGCCCGCGGAACAATAGGACATGATATGTCTAAATCGCGTCAATGTCCTGTGGGCTACCCCGCGTAGGCAGGCGCCCACGCTGTTCTTCAGCTACTGTGACCAGCGCGCTGTTACCAGAGATCATATGTGTGGGTACAGCACAGAGTTCTTCGATTGGAATAATCTACCGTAGTTCCCATTCGCCCTGTAGTTCTGCATACCGCACTTCCAAAATGTGCGCCTCGAGGTCCGCCCCTGATTCCCCATTGATGGCGCGGAGCAGGCCGCGTTCCTGTGATAGCTCGGCTTCTGGGGCCTCCCTGGCATCGCTGCCTTGCGCTGCCATGTCGGCCACTTCTTCGATTTTCGTCATATCTTGATCGAAGCCCGCGTGAGGTTTGGTGGACTTCAGGCACTGGATGATTCTTGAGTGTGCCGATCCGGTTATGTCTCCAATGTTTAATGCAATGCCTTCAGCTTCATAATAATGGAAGCCTGGTTTCACGTCGGTATCGTAATGCACCAGCGTACAACTGTCAGCATACGTTACCGCAGGTAGCTGATGAACGCCCATAGCTAACCCAGCAATAACCACGTTTTCGGCGCGGAAAGAGTTCCCGATGAGGCACTGAAGAGCTGAGTGTACCTTTGGAGAGAAACGGCTCGCACTCATCATCTCTGGAGCACCCCCCTTTTGGTTTGGAGGTATCCGGAGGTCATAACAGGTCCCCCCGCAGGTAGACTGGCCACGAATGCCAACGAAGTCAGTCACACTGCGCTGTCCGAGCCAATCTCTCGAGTGATCAGAGCCTCAATGTACAGCGAGTGTCCTGCATCACCGCGCTGGACTTGCACATCGCGGTTCCCAAATCTTACGATAACTTGACCCCAGTCAGGATCGTTCCGCACGACCGGGAAAGGTCCTTTCCAGCCGCCGCAGTCGTCCTTCGTAGTTGTGGGGCGATGGTAGTCAGCTAGATCTCCTTGGTAATTATAATGCTGACCGCCGATGGTCGTCTTGGTCCGAAGTGCACGGCTTGTTTGTGCTGTTGCAGTGGCTGTTCAATAGCCTCAATGCTTACCTGGCGGATAGTCCATTCCTGGGCATGATCAGATGCCCCCGTCTGTTGTTCGCGATCTAGAACAGGCAGGTCTGGTAAAATTGCAGGTCGGCCAAACAGCGCGTTATATGGAGATGCCTCCTCGCAGAAGGTAAACGCTTTGGCGGCGAGCAGAGCCTCATGCAATCGTCAGGCAAACACAAGTGGTATGTATGTCTAACCTATTGAATTCAGCCTCCTGGACGTGAAGTAGGTGTCGTAGTATGCCACTTATGGCTTCGTTGGTGGTAGCGTGTTGTCCACGCCCACGTATCCTTAGAAAGTGCCCTCTGCCTTAAGGGCTTCCTATGCGGTGCCATTATTGAGAATGGCCTCTCTGGCAGAGTATAATACTGTGGCAGGTCAGAACTGCATCCAGCACTGATGGTGCGCATCTAGAAATCTGGTCATAATTTTGTCTGGTACCTCGATTCCAGCACCGCACCGAATGCAGCGATCGATTAGGTGAAATACCAGATGCTCCTGCTTGTAGAATATAAGGTCGCATTCGACTTCATCGTTGAACTTGCCAGGTCGCGCGGTAGACGACATTATAATCTGCCCGGGCTTTTCCCAAGCCCTGCGTCCGAGGCACGCGTCACAGACGCCCTGCATCAGGTCTACCCTAACGCTATCCAGACCAGCCTTGGTTAAGACGAGTCTCATCTTAGGTCCCCGGGCACGGGGCCATCGCAGATGTAGCTTTCGCAACTTGCGCATTACCACGCTTGGG